GCGAAAGTGATTCTCACCGACCTCGTTAAGACGCCAGGATCATCAACGGCCGAAGAAGAAGCATTTAAGGGAAGCCGTGGGTGGTTCGAGAAGTTTAAGAGAAGAACCGGCATCCACAGCGGTGTAAGGCACGGTGAAGCAGCAAGCTCCGACACAAAGGCAGCAGAGAACTTCATCGGCGACTTCAAGAAGCTCGTAGATTCTGAGGGTTACCTGCCGCAACAGGTTTTTAATTGTGACGAGACGGGTCTCTTCTATATAACAGCAGAGGATAATGCATTGCCCGACCAGGTTGATTCATTCCGCATAGAAGAAAAGATGAAGATGATTCACGCTCCTTAACAATCTATATATAATTTTCTTTGAATAAACGTTATACATAATTTTTTTTAGTATTTTTTTCGGCATGGAACGCATTATCCTATTTTACATTAATTTATATGGGAAAAATTGTTTCGCTTAACGAGTGTTTCGCATTACGAGTAAGATTCTGGAACGAATTACGCTCGTTAAGCGAGGTTCCGTCACGACTTCAAGTGTCAGATATGTAAAAACGTCGGTGAACAGCAGTAGACTAATTAACATACTTTTCATGCATCAATAATACAGATTCTGAGAAAACGGTAACGCTCTATAAAGAAAAAATATGTTGTGGGGAAATGAACAGACCAAATGCTACCTTAATGCACATACAAACAAATTAAGGCAAAACCACGTCAGTTAACAGTGCTGTCACTGTTGAAATTTCTCTACTCAGTGGAAAAATTCTCTTGACCAGTGGAATTTTAGAATACCCAATATTCGTTACGGCGAGATGCGAAAGTGAAACTGGGCAGTCGTACTACAAGATGTCACTTGACGTTTGGCTGACAGCCTCGAACTGTCATTATAAAGCAACGTAAAGTAAAGCTGTCCCTGTAACAGGCCGTGAAGGCCCATAGGGTCGTGAGACGTTGAGGGTCCCACATTATCTAGACAATCGGCTCAAAGATGGCGGTAAGGTTGTCAGCCTTAGGCGCCGTATTAAGTTCTACTTACATTATCATAAATCAGACCGCTGACTTCCAAAATTAACAATAAAACACAAATGCATTTTTTTTTTACCTAAACCACCTTACCACCTCCCCTTTAAGAATTCTGCGAATATGACTATTTAAAATGATCTTACGTAAACCATATCAAATGTGTATTTCGTTCCTGATAGGAAGGGTCTGTACCAAAGATGCGCAACACGCGACATGACATGGGCAGAGATGAAGGAGCAACGCAAAACGCGCACATTCACAGCAATTTGTGTATTCTGCACGCTTAACACGGCTGTTACTGTATGTAATTATTTCTGAGATACCTCCAATTCTGATTAGACTACGGAGATACATTCATGAATGTACGGAGATAATGAAGATAATAAAAAGGCTCTCCAAAGAATCTGAGTTTCAGTTCAGACGGTTACCAATAATTCTGAATTTTGTTACAACTTATTCAAGCTCCAGAGCAATTTTCGTGTGAACCTGCCGAAGAACTTCCTGCGAAGAAAATTAGTGCAGGGTCTGAAGGATCATTATGCCAAATTTCACTCCTCTTTAACTAACAATTTGGGAGCAATAGCAACCATTTTCCTCTTCAACTATTAATTGTACTGAGGAGTCCGGATAGCGTAGTCGGTATAGCGACTGACTATGGGCTGGACGACCGAGGGGTTGGAGTTCGTGTCCCGGTAGTCAGGAATTTTCTGTTCTCCACGTTGTCCAGACCGGCTCTGGGGTCCACCCAACATCCCATCCAATGGGTATCGAGGGCTTTTTCCACAGCGGTTGAATGGCCGGAGCGTTAAGCTGACCACTCATTTCCAGCTAGTGCCTAGGTCAAGCAAATGTGGATCTATATATCCACTCCCCCATACGTCTACAAGGCGTACTGCTTAATTAGTTAAGCACAGGGACGTCACCTTTTTTTTACTATTAATTGTACAGATGTGAAATCATGTAGAACGACCCTTCAGAGCTTCCACTAATTTCCTTCGCTGGAAGTTCTGTGTCGTGTTTGCGGAACAGGTTGTAGCAGCTAGAAAATTCTTGAACAAGCTGTGAGAAAACTGAAGTTCCTGTGTTACCGACGGAAAATATTCCCCCCCCCCTTTTTTTCTTCTCCCTCGCTAGTGGGGTGGGACTAAATCCCTGGTACTGCGGCCACTTCTGGCCTATTGTACCAGCCCCAGATGATAGGTGAGGGTGATTGTGGAGCAATTGGTGGAATGAAGATTGGAAGGGGAAACCGAAGTACTCGGAGAAAACCTGCCCCAGCGCCACTTTGTCCACCACAAATCCCACTTGACCAGACCCGGTATCGAACCAGCGACTAAACGCTTGAGCTATGGCGCGGCCTAAAAACATTCCTTACTATTACCACACACGTTCACGATTATGACGCTGCTTAAAGCATCCCCCAAAACTAATTCGGATGAGGCAAGTCTCAGAACGAATTAAGAAGATACCAGACGCGGCCTACCGATTTGAAATCGGACAATTCACACGGGCTGCAACGTGAATCACTGCTCGGGATTCTCATGTATCCCTTACGCTGATCTGCGAGTGCACCGTCGGAACATATCATGTCTTGAAAAATATAAGACGAAACAGATTAAACACTTCAACATTATTGCTCGTAATAGGCTATAATAAAGTCAGAAACAGTCTCAAGAAAATCGAAACGAGGTGACCAACACCTAACAGCCTTCAAGGAATATGAGAGTGAACTTGGCGGACAGAAGGAAGATGACAAACCAGAAACGATCACGTAAACGTGTGTGTTCCGAAAGCAATGGTTGAAGACACAAATCGCCGGTGACATTGGTTTGCAAACTGAGGCACAGAAGTGGAACTAAAATAACATTCCTGAACAGCAGGTCCTACAAAGCAAGCTCAAACGACGTCGTTTAAGTACACGACAGACACACACCTACTGCTTACGTGACTTTCCTTTGCTAGAAGGGATCACACTTCACTCGTTTAAACACAAGTATGTAACTTCTGTTCGCCGATTGCGGTGACCGCGCTCTCTAAGGCATGAACTGTCTTCGCTCGCTCGGAAGCCGGGATCGTGGGTTCGAATCCCACTCAGGGCATAGAAGTCTGTGTGTGCGTTCATTCTGCGTTTGTGCTCTTCTGTGTATAGGTGGCGACCTTGCGTCGGGCTAATCCTCAGTCCTAGGAGTCCTGCTGTGTATAGCATTAAGAAACTGAAAAAGCGGCCAATGCCCAACAAAGGGCTGTAGAACCATAATAATATTACTTCTGTTCATTCAAGTCGCGACTCGATTGACGCGATATAAAACTGCAACATCTACAAATATAAAGCACAATAACTTCCAGACCGCCGGTCACGGTAGCCAAGCGGTCCAAGGAATGCACTGTCTTCGCTCGCCCGGAAGCCGGGATCGTGGGTTCCACTCCACTTGAGACATGGATGTTGGGTGTTTGTGTATGTGCACTTTTCTGCGTTTTGTGTACAGGTTAGAGGCACTGCGACGAGCTGATGAACCGCCCACGGAGTGCTACCGAAATGTCTAAGGTCTAGTAAACCGAAGTGAATCGGAGAGTGTCATGGAGGTAGGCCAAGGCCCAAATTGGGGCTGTAGCGCCAAAGGGAAAAATAAACTTCTAGAGCCCCGTCGTAGGTCACGCGGTAGAGATCTGGTTTTAACCCCGGGAGTCTAGGATTTGTGGATAATGTGGTGTCGGGGCAGACCTGTGTACAGTATTCGGATTTTTCCTCGTCAATTCTGTTTTCATCTGCAACGTACTCATTTATCACCGTCCCTGAAGTATGTGTGATAGGCCTCAAAATCCAGTATGATACCGCCAACATCCGTCCTCATTTCCGGCATCTGGCCGAACTTGGGATGAAGAAGCTTAGTACCAGTCGAAATTATTCACTTGTCGCGCCATGCAGTGCCCGGTACCTCCGATGAGGTGGCATTTCATTCGAAACAGACTCAAGTTCTGGTAAGACAAGGAGCTACGAACGTGTATATTTATTCTTAGAAGCAACAGCTGGTCTATGCTGGGGCTTTCAACGGAACGGAAACCAAAATATTTAGTCTAAATCTACAGACGGCCAAGCCGAACTTCTTCAAGCAGTTACATTAACGACGCGTTTCTACTTACAAGTACTCTCAGCATATATTCATTTTCAGCGGGAAACAAGTTCCTACTTTTTTAAATAGATGTTCAAAATCGAATTCTTTCACGAAGAGTCCTAAGTGAGGGGATGTGGGACAGTGTAGTCCACTAGAAATTTACCTTCTTCTATCAAGCTACACGGTGTCAGATCCCAGAAGTCAATACAGTTCACAGACCTCGCCTTGATAATCTCAGATCTTCATTTTTCATATTCTAAAAATGATTCTTAGATACATGAGTGGTATATTAGCTGTCAGTACTCATATGACAATTTATTATTAATGTTTACTGGTTCATTACTAAACATATTACGTCTCACAGATGGAATCTTAGAGAGACCATTAATGTAGGCGTTTATATGCAAAACGTTGGGCTACGCTTGCACAAATAAATGTTTACAATTCTGAATGAGTACGTGTGCTATTCTTAACTGAATTTTTGATTAATCACATGAGTCCAATGATGCCTGAGGTCAAAGTCACGAGTTAACTATTTCAGTTTTCGTAAATATGGAATAAACCAAAGAATACTACCAAAATAATGTCTATTACTTCGCTCTGCTTATAAGCTACAATTTTATTTTGTTCTTTCCATTACCAATAACAAAATAAAACCTTGTCTATTGATTCCTCATATTTATATGAAAATGTCTTGCTTTAGTATCCATTATTTCCAGTATTAAAAGGAAGACTAAAATCTTATTCATTTGAAATGTTTAATGCACAGTATAAATGATCGATTTGCATATGAAGCGACTTAAATATCTGGTAACTTCTCGTCCAATATGCTGTATTGAAAATTATAAATGAAAACACCTACCGAAACACCAGTTAAAAATCATTAGTCCAAGGTTCTCGACAAGTGCTGGTGGCTATGCATTTTCTCTTCTGCCTCCACATGTTTGTACGTAGGGTTCTGATGCAAGCACACGTACGGCAGAACTAGTAACTGCGGTCATCGTCACAACCAAAACAAGCGAAAACAACACTGTCAATAAATATTACAACTACGAATGCATTTCTTTCATCAGCAAACCCCCCGCCACCGGCACCAGCATCATTACTACTACCGCTCGTATAAGATATATTAGTTGCCAACAAGATGTTTCTCCATTTCCATCAAAATAACACTTTGAAATACGTCTCCTTCATCATCATCTTGACCGACATTAAACCAAACGGTACAAACTCATAATCGCCGATCGCGTAATACTGACACAGCTCCGAAGCTGCCAACCACCGTTCGCTTGTGCAACCTAACCAACCACGTTAGTAGTCGCACAGCAACTGAGCCCGCTAGCCTCAGAACGCTCAGAACCGCTTCATAGTATGCACACAGGCCATAGTTGGCGCGACTGCCGACAGAGAGAGAGAGACAGTGATAAAGTGCAAGGTCTCTGCCAGGAAAATGCTTTACTAGAGATCTCTGCGCAGACGGCGACTGTCCATCGTGAGATGTTCCAGTACGGAGCAAAGAAACGGGAGGGATGTAGATAGTATACGTCAACGTTTTCCACTCCTTCACCTCCACCCTCATCAAAACTCAACCCCCAAAGACAACTGGCGATTTAATTAATTTCTTTCTGAGAAATAATTTCTGCAGGATTTGACGTTCTCACAGCGGTGGAAATATAACGCCATATACTCCTGTGAAAGTCAACCGACATTTCGGAGAAACATCACCTCCATCTTCAGGGCGTTATGTCCTAGAAGATCAATACAGACCGATATTCATTGGTTACTTCTGTCGTTGCAGATTATAATTCACTAAATAAGCCGATAATTATTTCATATGCTGATTATGTTAGCCGCATGGTCTAAAGTTCCGGGGTTTGAATCCAGTTCGCGTGTTCGATATACGTCTTCACCCTTCTGTGTTGTTCAGTGTACACGGATCTTGCCTTGAGCTTTCTTCTGCGTCCGCCCAAACCAAGAATCCTATCGAATAACGCATCAAAAGGAAAAGAAAAGCGTAAGAACTCAAGACAGTTAGCTACACAGAAAACATTTCTTATATAAATGCAAGTATCCACAGTAACTCAAGTCTGGACATATCAAGCCGGACACTGTGGACTGATGACTGCTGCAAATCGGTTCATGCAATTACAACTTTCAACTGTCTGCGTCTTTTGCTTTTAAGCAAGATGTTTTTGCACATTAATACAACATAAACATGGTTAACATTCAAGAGTGACATCCATTAACACAAGTGAGCACAGCCATACCTCAGAGATCTTTATTCATCGTTGCTTATAGTAGTTCAGAATATCTGTCTTGAAAATGTGTCATCATTTATCAGATCGTTTCCTAAGAAATCTGTTACTCAAATCAAATACGAAAGGTTTTTGTATCAACTGAAGGTGAGACGTGTAAATTTATGTTAGTGTGTGTCCATTAATTGCAAGCGGAAGTGTAACCGTCCATTATGATTAGGCACAATATAGTGGATGTTGATTAAGACTACTGAATTCCAAGCTATACGCCATAAGTCCGGATTAAGGAGATAACCACGTTCTTACATTTAAAACGCGACATATGCTCATTCTTGCTGTGCGAACAGGACGCAGCCATCCGCAACTTTTCCTAGAATGTAGCTGTTGTGGAGAGAACCGCAGAACTTTTGTAACTTTATATTTGACAGCTTAGGCAAGCAGTAAACCAAAAGCAGGTTGGTCCGATACCCACACTAAGCTTATTATAGATCAAGGAACTATCAAAAGTCCCGTTGTAATTCGAAGTAAATTAATCTGCTTGGGAAATGCAAAATTTTGAGACCTCCCAGTTTATGAACTGGACCAATACGGAGGCAACTTCTCCTAGAAGCTGAGGCTCTGAGAAGCTCACTGCATCAGATAAATCTTTTCCAAGAGGACTCTGGTTTTAACTTTCGAACTGTACGCACGCGAACCTGCGTCGCTCCGGCTAAATTCTAAATTATACAAACTCAAACTTAACGGGGGCACGCGGTAGAGTAGTTGGTTGAGGCACTATGATACAAGCCGGAAGGTCAGGGGTTCGAGTACCGATTAGGTGGATTTTTAAATTTACCTAATCCTTCCAGCAGCATTACGGCCCTGGGGTCGACTAAGCCTCTAACAGAAATGAGTACAAGGAATATTCTTGGGAGTAAAGGGCGGCCGGCGCGTAAGGCTGACAAACCTACCGCCATCTATAAGCCGATTGTATAGAAAATGTGGTAACCTCAACATCTTACAACCCTATGGGCCTCCACGGCCTTTTATAGGGATACCTTTACTTTTCTTTACAGCCTTAAACATTTTTGATCTGTCCAAGTCACTTACGTAACAGAGCGGAGTACAACTGATACATAATTAAAGAGTGGCTACAGTGTTAGAACAGATTTAATAGTTAGGATTATTAGCAGACTAATCACTGTACCTGCATATTCATCGTTTAATAAATAACAATTTTCAAGTGCAAACTGTCCTTTTGGTGTGTGAATAGTGTGTAGCATTAGTGTTCTTTCCTGCCTACCAACCGACCTCTGAGTCGTGCCAGTTACTTCCATTCAACTCTTACGAAGGATGCACCATCTCTAACTGTAAGCAACCCTATTGTGCTTTCTTTTTATTGCTAGTAGGGTGGGACTAAGTCCCTTCTACTGTGGCCACTTGGGGCCTATTATACCAGCCACAGATGATAGGTGAGGGTGATTGTGGAGCAATTGGTGGAATGAAGATTGGCAGGGGAAACCTAAGTACTCGGAGAAAACCTGCCCCAGCGCCACTTTGTCCACCACAAATCCCACTTGACCAAACCCGGGATCGAAACTGGGCCACCGCGGTGGGAAGCCAGGGACTAACCGCTTGAGCTATGGCGCGGCCTACTCTGTGCGTACTGGCGCCCAGTACCAGACCTCCCACCTCCCTAACAGACCGCCTCACACCAACAAATGGAGGAGGGCAAGAGTAAAACAAAGGAGACGTCGGCAATTACCGGAGAGGCAGCAGTCAGCAGCCCAGTGAAGACTATTGCAGCTGGAAAATAACGTTGCGCCCCCCCCATGCTTCGAACTCGACTATAAAACAAAGGGAAAGTTCAGCTACATATGATATGTTTCCATCGCGGGCCAAGGAACAGCTGTACAGGCGTACTGTCAAGTTGCGTAAGACGCGGAGAAAATCGGGAACATACTGACATAACGTATTTCCCACATGAAAAGAATGCGACCCAAGTCGCAGGCATACAAGATTCATATCGTAACAACACCCACCGAATAGTCGCTTCAACTATGGGCCTGACATTTAGATTTATCGACGCTTTATCAGTTGCAACGACTGTGCATTATAGAATTAGATATGAAGATGGGAATAACGTGAATTGTGATAGTATCACTATTTCGTTATTCATTTAACGCCATCGTATTGTATACACATGTTATGATAGCCGAATTTTCTTTCTGTGGCTCTACAGACCTTTGGACCTTGGCGGATTCTTCAGTTCTTTAATCCCTTGGACGGGGAATCAGCTCGTGGCAAGGCAGCTACCTACACACAGAACAACACAAACACAGGCATCCATGCCTGGAGTGAGATTCGAACCCACGATCCCAGTGTACAAGCGGGCGAAGACGGTTCATGCGTTAGATCGCGCGGCCTCTTTGATCGGCGACAGCCAAATATAAAATGGATATTATAACGACTAAATGAATTAAGGCTGCGGAAAGAAACAGGCATTCTTGCTTTTCCGATATTTCCCTGGAAGAAATTAAACAAATGAAGCCATCCAAGCTTGTGGCATGAGAGACAACCAACTCTGCTATGTTCTGTATAAATATTTCGACAATGAAACTTAACAGTCGTTGGTAAAATGAAATTTAGAATACCCGTAGCCTGTAAATTCCTTCAGGGTCCCGCGTCCACTTCCGCCACCGGAAGTGTAACTCCCGTTTTCTTTGCCGGAACCTAATTAACTCCACGGAGCAAATTCCTTCTTGAGAAGGTAACAGCTGCTCAGTCAAGATATTCCTGTCTTTTACAGAACCTGAAGTTTCATTACCATGTTCATAAGAGCCCGTCAGTTGTCTTCCCTTCTGCTCCCACGTATTCCAAGTCGTTCCTACCCGGTAGGTTTTCAGATTAAAATATTGTACGAAACAGTGAAAAACAAATTTAAATGTAAAATACGTAAAACATATTAAAAAACTGACTTCACTTTCTACATACATAAAATTCGAAGACATGGGCCTGTATGGTATAAGATATACAATATTCTTTCGTCAAATATAAGTATAGTACGAATAAGGCCTACATTACGATACGTTGCTTCTAGGCATATATTTACGTATACCTATTACAGGCCATATGTATTTTGATAATCCTTCATTTGTAAAAAAAAAACAGTATTTTCGTCACCCATGTCATATCTACGGGCCGCAATTTGAATAACACAGATAAAATTTCAGAACCATAAGCGCTGAAGCATTGCCTTCTCTTTAGAAATTCTACCAAGGCGATATTTTAATAGTACAGAATTAAAAAGTTAGAATATCGCCTTTTATATAAATTGGCCAATTTATTCTAAAGTAATTACGAGGTAAACATACAGGGTACAAACACAGGCGTGCCAGTCATTCATATCCGTAATCATACATTCTTTCATTTTCTGAAAAAAAAAAGGTTAATTTCTTTCGTATACGTATTTCCTTCTAATTCTGTCTTAACTCGTGTATCTCTTGCTTATAAATACTTCATTTTCACTGGCATGCTCCATTACTCAGGTGTCGCTTCGATATGGAAGTGTGGGTGATCAAATTATTTCATAAAATCTTAACTTCAATTCTTTCTTTATGTATCGATTTAAAATTGTGCTGGTCCGTGCCATAGGTCAGGCGGCTAGTGGTCGACTTTCCCTCGCGGCAAATTGGGTTCGATCCCACAACCGGCTATGTGTGGTAAGTGGTCGACACATTGGCTGGGCCGGGGTTCCTCACAAGTACTTCGGTTCCCTTGCCAATTCACATTCTACTGAATGCTCCACCTTCTTCAATCGTCCTGCAATACATGGCCTCGTTACAGACAGCGCAGCAAAATAAGCAACTTAAAAAATGAAATTATACTTATGCAGGTGCCTGGATCGACCGTCTCTGCGATCTAGTGGTCAGAGTTCCTGGCTACAGTTCCAGAGGTCCGGGTTCGATTGCCGACGCTACCACATTTTCTGAGAAGTAGTGGGTCTGGAAAGGGGTCCACTCAGGCTCGTGAGGATAATTGAGGAACTATTTCATGGAAACCGAGATTAATGGCCATGGAGATCCGTTGCGCTGACCACGAGACGCCCT